GACGTCAAACATGACGTAGGCGCCAAGCAAGTGTAGTGAGATTTGAGAGCTGATGGTTTTCAGCAGGATTAAAAATAAAAATAACATTTAATTAAAAAATGAGCTGCTTCAGAAATATTTCCGGAGTCAGGCTGCGATATCAGAACGTTATAATAACTATTTCCTAATAAAATGAAGGTTGTTGTTTTTCCTCAAGGTGGCGATTCAAACATTCTCTCATTTGACCCATTTGTATTTTGTCTATTAATTTAAAGATTGGAAAGCGGAATACAAGTGCAAATGTTTCTGAAAGCCACCTTTATTTATTTTTTTATTTTTTTTTGCGCTTGGTTTCAAAGCTGTAGTAAACATAGCATGATGATGAAAAAGACAAATTCAAATTATTCATCTCAGTTCAATTCAATAACGGTGAAGTTAAAACAAAATCAATTCACCAGCTAGCTCTACTGAATACAATAGTTATTTAGATAAATTCAGTTCAAGTTTTGATCTCATCCGATATCCCATATAGTCAGTGCAGTTACATATTTTGTGGATATTAAGTGAACTCTGATCACAAACTGATGCGTAAAGCAACATTATGAAAAATACACCTAAATATTGATACCGAGAGATTTTTTTAATGTACATTTAGCTTGAAAATTGACAGCGAAGAGTTCAAATAAAATTATTATTTAGATCTGACCAATTGCAGACAACTTCCGGGCATGCAAGTACCGCCCTTTTTCAGTTTGTGTGGTGTGTTGTTTTAGCGCGAATGGTTTGACGCTATAAGAGGATGATTTTGAAAGATGGGATATATTAAAAACTATATTGGACCCCACAGCAAGTTCGTGAGTAAGAGATGTTAATCAATTCACATGTGATGCAGTTTCAATCATTTCAGATGTCATGATGTGTGTGTGTGTGTGTGTGTGTGTTTGTGTGTGCGCATAGAAATCGGCAAAACAGCCGCGTTAAATTCCTGAAGTGTTTGACTATGGCTGTCTGAAGTAGCATACTCTCTAGAGTTAGTACTTATTTTGAATAAGGAATTACTTCAATGCTGCTAAAAAGTACGTTCTAGCCTACTATGGATGTGTGTAGTCTAATTTTAACGTTAACTACCTTAGATATGTATTTCTATAGTAACTATTTGCTGTGATGCCCGTGTCACGTGACCTACCAGTATCAGTTGCGTTGCTTCACCGCCACTCACAAGTCCTCTCCTGAGGCTTCATGGGATAGTAAAGTAGCTTTGTGTCAATTCAGAGGGTGCATCCTACAGTTAATGAGTGACTGTAATGTTTGTACTAAAGTTTTTTTTTTAAAAGTTATATTAAAAGTTGAAAGTTATGTCTGAAAACAAAACAAGGTTCATAAACTGTCTAAATATGTTCATGGTCCATTTCTGAGTATAAACTAGCTATATGTAACCAAAAAGCATATCTAATTATCATAAAACTTATACAATTATTAAACTTAGTTACATAAATTTTTTTCTCACACAAATTCTGTTTTGTTTTCTCTGGAAATCAAATGAAGACATTTAATTTATTTTAATCATATGAAATTAAACTGTCAAGCAACGTGTTGCATAATGAGCTTTAAAATGTTCCTTAAAACAGGAAAACCAATAAAGTTTTGATCATCATTTATTTGTATTAGTATATTTGTTATTTGTATTAGTGTTCATATTATTATTACATTGAGACATATCTAAATTCTACTGTACAACAATAATATAAGTGAGAGTTTGTGTTTATGGCACGATGATAGTTTTTCTTAAATGAAGTGGTTAAATGCTCCTGAAGTGACTTTCAGAGCAGATCTAGAGTCTGGAGATGAAGTTTAAGCATTCGTGTCCTCATATATGCTTCACAAGCTTGTCTTTTTGCGGTTTAATATTCACACACACTAGTCTAAATCGCAATTTAATTTCAAGTTTAGGCCTACTGAACTGTTTTTTAATTATTTATCAAAAAAAGGGTGAAATTCCGTGTTCTACAGTAAATTCCGTGTTCTACAGTAAATTCCGTGTTCTACAGTAAATTCCACGTTGTACTGTAAATTCCATTTTTATGACTGGATTCTGTGATTTTGTTTGCGTTTTCTGCATCGCAAAAATCATAGTTACAAAATGGAGCTCACGCTTCTGTTTTTTAAAATATTTTTTAAAATATATTTTGTTATTTTTTCAGGCGGGTGGGGATTGTTTTGCAATGGTAGGGGAAACACTGCAGATTAGGTTTTGTTGAGGTTGCATCCAATCTGGGCCTTCAGAAAAAAAAATCCTTATTGTTGATTTGCACTGCTGGGAATGAGGGCCCTGATGTTTAATAGATCACCACTAGGGGACTAAGTAAGGGAATGAGACACTGCAGTTGTCAGTCGACAATGACTTAGTTGACCGAGTCAGCATATTAAAATGCTGGTTTAATTGCTTGAACGAGAATAGATGCATGTCAAATTTCATTTCATGACGTCTGTGTTTCCACAGGGTGGAGAATTGTGATGAAAAACTAATTATGACCATTTTTGATGTAAATTATGACCATTTTTGATGTAAGAAACCTTGACTAACATTGAAATTGGACTTAATGAAAGATAATTGAATGATGCAAAATTAACATGATCCCTTTCATTATGTTCCTGGTGAACTTTTATGTGGACGGCAGCCATGATGATTGAGATTGTTTGGGTGGGACGCAGGAAATAGTTCTTTGGTCATGTCATCTATTCAAAACAAATCTGACCTGCAATGCTTTAGCAGAGAGACTCTTGAATTTTGCAACCAAAATACAGTCAAACCAAAATGTATTCAGACACCCTCAACATTTCTCACATTATCACAGTTTATTCGCAATAGTTTAGAAAATGGTAATAATATATGAGCAGAGCTCAGTGGATATTTAGCCGTACCAAATTGTTTATAAATGTCACTGTTAGTCACTTTATGAAGAATTTTTGTGTATAATAGGTCACAGTTTACTTTGTTTTGCTCTCCTCACTTACATAAATGAACTATAGTGTCCTGCACACACTAGTAAAAAAAATATAAAACATTAAATCTGGTGTCTGAATAATTTTTGGTTTACCTGTGGCTATCGCATTATATAGTCTTGAGAAGCCATCAAGGGTAAGGCCATAAAAACAATATTTCAGATTACAACTTAACCATCTTTTAACGGATTCTTAAACTATTAAATTGGTTTTAGATAGTAGATAGAAATCCCCTCCAAAGGCATTTTTTGTGTGAATGAGAATTGTGTTAAGAATAATTGCTTTTGACATTAGACTGTACTTCCGTTATATCTTTGAACCATTTGGCTCTTGGAAAATTTTGTTTTTATTGAATTTGTTGAGGAGGATTGACTTGAGTTCCACACGGACACGGGTATTTTTATAACCGTGACTTTTTTACGCGGTTCGGCCGTTCGTAAACGTAGTATCAAAATTTTCTCGGGGAAGGCCCCGAACCCCACCTTTTGTCCCAGTGTTAGGCAATTATAACATAGTATTGTCATTAAATCAGTGTAGATGGGCCAAAATAAAACCATTAAAATATCAAGTAAATAAGTGACAGGCTACTTGGTGCCACAGCGACGCCCAAAAAGTATTGCTATACCACGATACTCAATATGTTGTCCCACGGTGAGTCATTTTTCTCTGCACCTACACAAAATTTGAGGGTTCCCCCACCTGACAAATCCCACTTTAACCACTGGTTCCGAGTCCCTGACAACTGTGAGGGGTCGGGTGAATTTTTTTCTAACTCGTTAGTTTAGATCGTATTTAGATATAAAATGTATGACAAATAAAGGCGGTTAACTTTGATTGACAGCTGTTAACGGGCTGGAATTTGAGTGGAATTTGACGTCTCGGCCATGATCTGACACAACACATCATACCACCTCTGTGTCCTTTCTGAACATTTGTATTTTGTATTTCCCGAGATTTTCTATGATGGCGCCGCCATAAACAGCCTCAGAACTGTTCTTCAGAAAGTCTATGGGTGACGTCACAGACGCTTTGTCCATATTTTTTTACCCGTGTCCGTGTGGACGAGGCCTTGGAGTGGAAGTAACTCTGTCGATGGTACATGGCACATACCACGTTTTCTCACGCCTTTCCCAACCCTTTGTGAGCTACAGACACGTAAAAACAACACCCCCGTCATTGTGTTTTCTTTGGGATAAGCATGAACGCGTCAGCACAAGTTCACGTCGACTCTCAAAGGGTTTTTTTCCCCGAGCAGCTGTTTATATCCTATTTCCTTGTTGCAAACTGTCAATCTAGCTCGTTTCTGACATGAAATGCATGGGGTTCAGTAGCTTAAAATCCATAGCACTGTGTTTTATTTTCTTAATTCATCTTTTCCTCTTTGAATATACAACATTTACATATGGGATGCACATTGTACTGTTCACCCCAGCTGGGTTGCTTAAACACTGACACATCCAGCCTGTTTTGCATAATGGTTTGCATTGATCACAATCATAGCGTGCTGAACATTTCATTAAGGATCCGTTCCTTTTTGCTGCATCCCTTTATTTGTTTGCAAAATCCTTATTTGGCCAGATTATACACTTGAATACCGCAATACCTTTGAGCTAAGACGAGATGCTGATATTGTCTGACAGGCCACACTCATGTTGTTACTAGATTAGGCCGATCTGCATCAATATAATGGGTTTTGTGACAAGGCAAATAGTAGGCAGTGCACAGTGTTATTTTGTGCTGTTTGTGGCCCTATTACATGTGATTCAGTGGAAATGTGCAAATGCATTGAGGTGTGAAACACATTTTAGGAATCTAGAATCCGCCCCCATCGTGGAGGTTATTTTTTGTTGCTTTGTCTATCCTTTATGACTCCAGGGTTCATGCGCAAAGGTCACTGGCAAATGATGAGTGTTTGTTGTAACTTGTGCGTCAGGATCGTGTGCCGTTCAGATGAAAAATGAGAAGACATTCAGGAAGGATATAGAATTGTAATTGTAATTTGACAAGATGGAATGAAATTCAAAGACATACTGCTGTAACGTAAGTGTAGTTTTTAATAATGCATTTCAGTTTTCTGTAAGAATGAAAAAGAATCTGTTTCATTGTGACTTTAAAAACCAGCGTTTGAAATTATGCATAGAAATTTAAACTGTTTATTGATTATTTTATTATAGAACTTTCATTTTTATTGACTACAAGGGAATTTTCATTTCCCAAAATGCTGAAATTTACTTTAGATATAAAGTAAATTATATATAAATTACATCATACCATTCTGGGAAATTAGGCTAATATTTTTTATTATCTAACAATTCTGACTTTATATCTCACAATTCAGACTATATCTCACAATTCTGACTTTATATCTCACAATTCTGACTTTATATCTCGCAATTCTGACTTTGTATCTCACAATTCTGACTTATATCTCACAATTCTGACTTTATATCACGCAATTCTGACTTTATATCTCACACTTCTGACTTTGTATCTCACAATTCTGACTTTATATCTCACAATTCTGACTTTATATCTCACAATTCTGACTTTATATCTCGCAATTCTGACTTTGTATCTCACAATTCTGACTTTATATCTCACAATTCTGACTTTATATCACGCAATTCTGACTTTATATCTCACACTTCTGACTTTGTATCTCACAATTCTGACTTTATATCTCACAATTCTGACTTTATATCTCACAATTCTGACTTTATATCTCACAATTCAGACTATATCTCACAATTCTGACTTTATATCTCACAATTCTGACTTTATATCACGCAATTCTGACTTTATATCACGCAATTCTGACTTTATATCTCACAATTCTGACTTTATATCACGCAATTCTGACTTTATATCACGCAATTCTGACTTTATATCTCCAATTCTGGCTTTATATCTCACAATTCTGGCTTTATATCTCACAATTCTGACTTTATATCTCGCAATTCTGACTTTATATCTCGCAATTCTGACTTTATATCTTGCAATTCTGACTTTATTTCTCACAATTCTGACTTTATATCTCGCAATTCTGACTTTATTTCTCACAATTCTGACTTTATATCTCGCAATTCTGACTTTATTTCTCACAATTCTGAGTTTATATCACGCAATTCTGACTTTATATCTCGCAATTCTGACTTTATATCTCGCAATTCTGACTTTATATCTCGCAATTCTGACTTTATATCTCACAATTCTGACTTTATATCTCGCAATTCTGACTTTATATCTCGCAATTCTGACTTTATATATCGCAATTGCGACTTTATAACACGCAATTCTGACTTTATATCTCACAATTCTGACTTTATTTCTCACAATTCTGAGTTTATATCACGCAATTCTGACTTTATATCTCGCAATTCTGACTTTATTTCTCACAATTCTGACTTTATATCTCACAATTCTGACTTTATATCTCGCAATTCTGACTTTATATCTCGCAATTCTGACTTTATATATCGCAATTGCGACTTTATAACACGCAATTCTGACTTTATATCTCACAATTCTGACTTTATTTCTCACAATTCTGAGTTTATATCACGCAATTCTGACTTTATATCTTGCAATTCTGACTTTATATCTTGCAATTCTGACTTTATATCTAGCAATTCTGACTTTATATCTCACAATTCTGATTTTATATCTCGCAATTCTGACTTTATATCTCGCAATTCTGACTTTATATATCGCAATTGCGACTTTATAACACGCAATTCTGACTTTATTTCTCACAATTCTGACTTTATTTCTCACAATTCTGAGTTTATATCACGCAATTCTGACTTTATATCTCGCAATTCTGACTTTATTTCTCACAATTCTGAGTTTATATCACGCAATTCTGACTTTATATCACGCAATTCTGACTTTATTTCTCACAATTCTGACTTTATATCTCGCAATTCTGACTTTATTTCTCACAATTCTGAGTTTATATCACGCAATTCTGACTTTATATCTTGCAATTCTGACTTTATATCTCGCAATTCTGACTTTATATCTCGCAATTCTGACTTTATATATCGCAATTGCGACTTTATAACACGCAATTCTGACTTTATATCACGCAATTCTGACTTTATATCTCACAATTCTGACTTTATATCTCACAATTCTGACTTTATATCTCACAATTTTGACTTTATATCTCGCAATTCTGACTTTATATCTCGCAATTGCGACTTTATATCTCACAATTCTGACTTTATATCTCACAATTCTGACTTTATATCTCACAATTTTGACTTTATATCTCGCAATTCTGACTTTATATATCGCAATTGCGACTTTATAACACGCAATTCTGACTTTATATCACGCAATTCTGACTTTATATCTCACAATTCTGACTTTATATCTCACAATTCTGACTTTATATCTCACAATTTTGACTTTATATCTCGCAATTCTGACTTTATATCTCGCAATTAAGACTTTATATCTCGCAATTCTGACTTTATATCTCACAATTGCGACTTTATATCACGCAGTTCTGACTTTATATCTCGCAATTCTGACTTTATATCTCGCAATTGCGACTTTATATCATGCAGTTCTGACTTTATATCACGCAATTCTGACTTTATATCTCACAATTGCGACTTTATATCTCGCAATTCTGACTTTATATCTCGCAATTCTGACTTTATATATCGCAATTGCGACTTTATAACACGCAATTCTGACTTTATATCACGCAATTCTGACTTTATATCTCACAATTCTGACTTTATATCTCACAATTCTGACTTTATATCTCACAATTTTGACTTTATATCTCGCAATTCTGACTTTATATCTCGCAATTGCGACTTTATATCATGCAGTTCTGACTTTATATCACGCAATTCTGACTTTATAATCTCACAATTCTGACTTTATATCTCACAATTCTGACTTTATATCTCGCAATTGCGACTTTATATCATGCAGTTCTGACTTTATATCTCGCAATTCTGACTTTATATCTCGCAATTCTGACTTTATATATCGCAATTGCGACTTTATAACACGCAATTCTGACTTTATATCTCACAATTCTGACTTTATTTCTCACAATTCTGAGTTTATATCACGCAATTCTGACTTTATATCTCGCAATTCTGACTTTATTTCTCACAATTCTGAGTTTATATCACGCAATTCTGACTTTATATCACGCAATTCTGACTTTATTTCTCACAATTCTGACTTTATATCTCGCAATTCTGACTTTATTTCTCACAATTCTGACTTTATATCACGCAATTCTGACTTTATATCTTGCAATTCTGACTTTATATCTCGCAATTCTGACTTTATATCTCGCAATTCTGACTTTATATCTCGCAATTCTGACTTTATATATCGCAATTGCGACTTTATAACACGCAATTCTGACTTTATATCACGCAATTCTGACTTTATATCTCACAATTCTGACTTTATATCTCACAATTCTGACTTTATATCTCACAATTTTGACTTTATATCTCGCAATTCTGACTTTATATCTCGCAATTGCGACTTTATATCTCACAATTCTGACTTTATATCTCACAATTCTGACTTTATATCTCACAATTCTGACTTTATATCTCACAATTTTGACTTTATATCTCGCAATTCTGACTTTATATATCGCAATTGCGACTTTATAACACGCAATTCTGACTTTATATCACGCAATTCTGACTTTATATCTCACAATTCTGACTTTATATCTTGCAATTCTGACTTTATATCTCGCAATTCTGACTTTATATCTCACAATTCTAACTTTATATCTCACAATTCTGACTTTATATCTCGCAATTCTGACTTTATATCTCGCAATTCTGACTTTATATCTCGCAATTCTGACTATATCTCACAATTCTGACTTTATATCTCGCAATTCTGACTTTATATCTCACAATTCTGACTTTATTTCTCACAATTCTGAGTTTATATCTCACAATTCTGACTTTATATCTCACAATTTTGACTTTATATCTCGCAATTCTGACTTTATCGCAATTGCGACTTTATAACACGCAATTCTGACTTTATATCACGCAATTCTGACTTTATATCTCACAATTCTGACTTTATATCTTGCAATTCTGACTTTATATCTCGCAATTCTGACTTTATATCTCACAATTCTAACTTTATATCTCACAATTCTGACTTTATATCTCGCAATTCTGACTTTATATCTCGCAATTCTGACTTTATATATCGCAATTGCGACTTTATAACACGCAATTCTGACTTTATATCTCACAATTCTGACTTTATTTCTCACAATTCTGACTTTATATCTCACAATTCTGACTTTATTTCTCACAATTCTGACTTTATATCTCACAATTCTAACTTTATATCTCACAATTCTGACTTTATATCTCGCAATTCTGACTTTATATCTCGCAATTCTGACTTTATATCTCGCAATTGCGACTTTATAACACGCAATTCTGACTTTATATCACGCAATTCTGACTTTATATCTCGCAATTCTGACTTTATTTCTCACAATTCTGACTTTATATCTCGCAATTCTGACTTTATTCTCACAATTCTGAGTTTATATCACGCAATTCTGACTTTATATCTTGCAATTCTGACTTTATATCTCGCAATTCTGACTTTATATCTCGCAATTCTGACTTTATATATCGCAATTGCGACTTTATAACACGCAATTCTGACTTTATATCACGCAATTCTGACTTTATCTCACAATTCTGACTTTATATCTCACAATTCTGACTTTATATCTCACAATTTTGACTTTATATCTCGCAATTCTGACTTTATATCTCGCAATTGCGACTTTATATCATGCAGTTCTGACTTTATATCACGCAATTCTGACTTTATATCTCACAATTGCGACTTTATATCACGCAGTTCTGACTTTATATCACGCAATTGCGACTTTATATCTCGCAATTCTGACTTTATATCACGCAATTCTGACTTAATATCTCGCAGTTCTGACTTTATAACACACACTATTGTGTGATTAAAAACAAGTCGCAATTATTTTTTTA